CACCAAAATTTGCTTCTTTATAATACATTTTGTGTCTGATATATTTTAAACAGAGCAATTATCCTTATTCACGAGTGAAGGCGCACAGGGTCATTGCTATTGCCTTGCCCGGTAGTATTTTCCAAACATAATCTCAAATTATACGAAGAATGTGATCAACTTTGATTACACTTCCAAAAAGTGGAGGCGACTATTAGATGACTCAGAGGGGTCCATATAACAGAATGGATTCTAATGTTCAGGTTAATCAGGTTTCTACTCCTGATTAAATACTTTAATACGGTTTTTCAAAAAAATCTGATGATTATTGGGTGTCTATATGTGAAATAGCTGCACCATCAGAGGATGTTTTGAAGATGTCGCGAAATTCTGATTTCTTCCTAACAGCTGACAGTGGAGATCAAACGACGCAAGGGTCTAGAGAGCAAAATTGAGAAAAAAAGCGGCAATTTTCTCAAGTCCGAGGAGACAATGCTCTCGGTGGACAACCAAATACAAAAAAAGGTTTGTAGTCCCTCTCTGACACATAGACCATTGCATTATTTTAATCATAATTTTACATGCAGTCAATCTAAGCGAGCGATGTTTTAACTCGCCAATACTGATGACTACACTATAGTTGTACCGAAACGGTTAAATCACTCCTCACTTTTGATTTCAACGGTGATTGTTTTTCGTAACACAAAGCATGAGGGATCACCGGAACTCCCTACACCCAAAAAGTACATAATTGTTCAGTTTGCATTATTTGTAGACAAGAGTTTATTAAGTTGTACGTTATTCCATATGCTCTCTTTCCCACCTGTGTTAAACCACCACTTCCTTCGTGACACTCATTGGGCCATTAATGGGAGCAGTATACGACTTCGGGATTTGTTAAATTTTTAGTGTAATGATTAAAGCGTAGTTTTGAAGCAAACTATCAGAAATACTTCATAGTTTCCTTTTTTAGAATGAATCTCAACATTTACTGGCAAACGGTGAGACTACTCTATCACCAGTTGGCAATAGAATGGACTTATGTAATTCAATTTGCGAACTCTCTAAACGCGTGAGGTGCCATTTTATAACACTGAAAAATTTTTAGTCGACCAAGTTTAAAATCCTTTTGTTGCAGGTAACAAGTCAAGAAGAAGAGCTTAAGGAACTGAAGAAGGTCATCTACAAGTCAGAGGAGCAGAGACCACCCACCCCCTCCTTTCCAGAGATCCAGCTAAGACTAACGGATGACCTGAGATGGAAAGCGGCTGCTGGTGCCAAAGAAGACTCCCAGAGTGGCACTTCTATTGTGAGAAGACGATGGCGGGATGTGGAAGAGTCGAAGACTTTCGAAGAGAGTAGTGTTCATGAGGATCCTATTCAGCCAACAGAAAAGAAGGCACTTCCACTAAGACTGTAGTTAGGGAAGCTGTCTTGTGCCACACGATGCTGTAAATAAATTAACAAACACAAGCGGACTTTGGAAGCATTAGTACGTAATTTTGAGGGAATTATATATTTGTAGACAGATGATGGCCTAAGTATTTACCGTCTCATCGAGGGGGTCCGCGAACTTAGTTTGTTGTAAAGGCAAAACAACCTAAAAGGTCTGAAAATTTAACCAGATACTCGCTAACACAACTCCATAAGCTCACAGGAACTTTGCTTTCATCAATTGAGCCAGTCAAATAAAAAAAGAATCATCGATGATCTTCAGCACGTTAACAAAACACGGTTACTGAAGGGATAATCATTACTAGCACCACATGCATGCTTTCTGAATTCCATGAGTTAAGGCTACACACGGTAAGTCACCGGAAATGGAAAAAAGATAAGAATATTTTCTTTGGTGTCACAGATACCCATGCAATAAAGTACTGGCGCTGATATTTTGAGCAACCCTTACATGACTGAAAAATTGACAGCATTACTTCCCTATCCCGTTAAAATAATGCTGCAATGTAGCACGCTCGGGACTCTTGAACAAAACACCTACAAGTCCAGCATCTTTACGAGAACTTCCAATGGTCTACGCCAAATGAGAGGAAAGCCAACTTTAATAGCTAGCACAGTATGAATTGCTTAAGATTAATCAAAGCAGGCAAAGCTTCCTTCCTGTAGGTAATTAGATCTTGTTTGGGAAATTTGTAACAGGCATTGTTAGAGGTAGATGACTTATTACCTGCACGGATAACGTCACGGCTGTACGATAAATGAGCCTTTTTAATATGGGCTGTGTGATAGCTGCGTGCGCATCATTCGTTCACTATGCTTATTTCTAAATACCAGCTTGCACAAATGCAAGGCGCTGTAAAATTGCGCTTAGATTCCTAATTATTATTTATCACACACACATTAGTAACTGTTTACTCTACACTACAATAGAATATTACCACGAAAATGGGTTCATTTGATGCATATCGAAATGAGAGGATTTGACATAGGGACAACAGTCAAATGATGACATTTTCCAGAATACAATAAGTAAAAAGCCAAACTGAAAAGTGGCACACTGAAGAGGGTGGACTGGATAATCTTAAGTTCTCGGAACGATCGCTAACTAGATTCCATAAAAGAAGGGCAAAGTGCAGACGGGGATGATTAATACTACCCTCCCATGACCTATAGGTTTAATCAGTGAATGCTCGGTACCACTCTTAAAAGCGGCCAGAACGGTTTAAGTGCTATGAATTGAATAAAACTGGTGCACTCATCGTTCCGTTTGCTGCAGTACAAGCAGTGCGACCTCCTTTTTTCTGGTTCACGGAAGTGTACTATCGCCTTCAAATTGTTTCTCACTGTAGAATCCAAATAAGCACACTGGTGATGGCAACGAATCATCTTTTAGCATCAATACTGACGCAACCGCCACAATCTTCACGATTGGTTTGTATTCAAGGTCACATTTGGCGTGCATAAATTTGTTTGATTGCGTAGGTGTGAAGCGAATGCCTGGGTAGTGTGCGCTCATGAGCGTGAACTTATGAAGTTGTTTTAATTCGCGTTTAGTAATGACAAGTCACTGACATTCTCCACCAGAAACGTTGTAGTTGATGCCAAACAATCGAAAGAAATGAATAAGTGCATGTGTACGTCTGTAATTTTGTTGCTTGTTGGAATAGCACTTCACATTGCTCTCCCATTCGTCATCCATGGTGAAATAAGTCGAAGAATGAAGTTGTTCAAGGGCAGCACATTGTTTGACTCGTGGAGCACATGTCGATCTGGGATTGTTGTGGAGTTCTACTTCTTCACAGTTACAAATGAAAAAGACTTTATGCATGGAAGCAAACCTATTGTCAACGAAGTCGGCCCTTATACGTACGAGCAAAGCACATGTAAGGATGCACTAGATGCTTTTCCTCAAAATGGGAGCGTTAGATATTCCGACAAAAATTCATTCAAGTTCTTGCCAGAACGATCTGTTGGTTTGGAGTCGGATGAACTTACAGTGCTCAATGTTGGATACATCGCAATCGCAAACAGGATTGGGGAGAGCCGCATCCTGGATGAAGTTGCAAAAATGATTTTCAAGCTGTTTTACCATTCTCAGCTTTTTTTGAACAAGACTGTATCTGAAATGATTTGGGGATATGAAGATCCTGCTCTAAAATTTATCAGCAAGTTCATTACTGTTGAGACCATAATTGGTCTCTATCCAGGCAAAAATGACTCAGCTGGTCCCACTTTTGAAGTTGAAGATGGCGTGCAAAATACGACAAAGGTTGGGCAAATTCTCACCTTCAATGGACACCGGGAGATGTCGGTGTGGAACACTTCACTGGCGAATCACATAGCTGGTTCCGATGGCTCTCTTTTCCCTCCCTTCCTAGAGTCCACTGTTCACGTCTTCTCTGCCGACCTTTGCAGATCTTTGCAGTTCCACACCGCCAAGAAACCTGAGACAGTGTACATAAACTCGGTTCCTACTACGAAGTTTTCGCTTTCGAAGGAAACATTTCTTTCACCTGAGGAATGTCCGGATAATCGTGGATTCTGCCTAGATTATCCAAACTGTCCAAAGTCAGGAACATTAGATATGCGGACATGCATGAAAGGTGCCCCTATAGCGATCTCCTTGCCACACTTTAATGGGGTCAGTCCTCTTTTCGAGTTTTTCTTCTAAAGTACCAATCAAAAAGGTATTTACCACATATTTACACGTTTATTCGATAAAATTACAGGTTTTTCGTACGTTCTAGGTTGTGATGAAAGATGTAGGGTACATTCTTAGTCCTTGCTACTAAATATTACCGACCGCTCTCGATTATTGTTTTTTGCATGATGTTAACAACTAATCTCACTTCAAGTTTCTATGTAATGTGTATTTTTAAAATTGAATATATGTAATGACCACAGTTCTGCCGCATTTTAGTTTCCTTTAGCCTTTAATAACCCTCTGTATTCTTGTATTTAAGACCCACGAGAAGACTTCCCGCGGTTATTTTATGCTCAAAATTTTTATAAGCCCTTTATTGAGCTTTCCACTGGGTCATTTTTCATAATACCGGTCCAGGTTGTCTTGTCCCTAAGGCCAATCCAAATTGTTGTAATTTAGGCCGACGAAAGCTATCGTAATGCTGTGATAGGAATGCATCCTCGTGATGATATGGACATATCATTGTACATCGAACCGCAGACTGGAGTGATTCTCCAGGCCCTCCAACTCATTCAGATCAACGCTATAGTACAGTCCAACCCTCACCTGTCTGAATTGGCACATTTGAAGAATGTCACCTACCTACCGATTGCCTATATCAACACCTCCATCTACGTATCGGAGTCCGTGGCCCGCACCCTCATGTCGACCCTCATTGTCCCACAGATGTCCATAAGAGTAGCAGCTTCACTGGTTGTCATTAGCGCTCTGGTGAGCCTTGTAGTAAATGGCGGTATGCTCATTTACCGCCACTGTCACCCTTCTCAAATCTCTGACGGTACTCAGGAGAATGCCCCCCTCATCGTCCAGTGTCCCTCCGATTCCCCCTCTTTCGACGACCCTCAAGTATCGATTGCTGAGTCGTCTCCAACTCCTGAACGCAGCCAGACGTCACAGGCAGCCGAAGGTGGAGTAAAGTCCGTCTGAAACCGGAACTTTCGTGTACATGGGGGCTTTCATTGCTTCACGCGAACTACTTATTGTGTCGACTTTTTACTGAGTTCATTCCTTACCAATTAATCATACTGAATCCCTTTGCTTTAACGCGTTACTTTCCTCTATTAAACGAGAGCAGAGGCGACCGTCCTGCCCTTAGGCTGTGTCCAAGCCCATTCTGTTTAGGGTATGCGACGTGCAATTGAATAAGTTCACTCTAAATTCAATTGTAAGCCTTCACCAGGAATGTAATCTCCCGCCTGAGGTAACGTGTTGTCCACACATCACTGCTAATATTCAACGCTACTCCGGCTCATTGCGAACACACTAATCGGCAGTTTTTAATTTTATCACCACCGAATAGGCACCACATTCTTGACATCGCAAACAGAGCACCACCTGCCACACCGATGTTCGAGACTGCGTTTGTGTAGTGCCAAAACCGAAGCAGGGGTATGACTTGTCACTTTACCAGACGATTTATTAGAGGGCTAAGATGCCTAACAGGCATCCCTGACCTAAAGAGCAAAGTGGGACATGCAACTCCGAACAGACGACAAAGCCTGAACTCTGGTGCAGACGGATGCAAGAATCTGAAAACTACAAGATGTGGAGAATCCTCTCTTATTACGCCAGAACCAACCCTCAAACAATGTATCACAAGGCGAGCAGTCCTTTCCTAGTATTCATAATAAGGCCATCAATATGCAGATTTAAAGCCAATGAATCGACTCATTCAGCATCTGCCCAAGTGGTGCGTATGCACGCATATATATGGCAGATGTTCAAAGCAGTCGTTTCTTTTTTGCTAAGTAAGTTGTAACTGTAGAGTTGAAGAGGTTTAACGCACGTGAAAAAACTAAACAATGCTTAGACTCCCATCCAGTGGAATGTCTAAAGAGCACATGGGAACGGTGCTTCACTAAGTAGAAAGGCAGAGAGGTGGAAGCACAATGGTTGCGGCGCCTAGGATTGAGATCCCCATCAAAACTGAGATAGTGGTGGTGGAGAGGGGGAGGAGATGAAAGAGCCAGGAGAAACGGGCATAGAGTGGCAGTGAGGTGGAATGCGGCAGGTCACTCGATGATCGGCTCGAGGCCGTCTTGCCAGGTGACCTGGATCGTCGGCCACTTGGTGCGTAGGCATCGGTCCAGCGTAGTCAATCTGGTCGGCGGACTCTCCTCCATGGGATCCACGATCTTTGCAACCCCATATCTGTACATGACCTGCCAACAAGTTATATTTTAATCAAACTGACGGCATTTCATTGAAATTGACGGAACAACTATCTCAAAAAAGTAAATTGAATAGAACGACAGGAGTGATGGGAGGTTTACCTTATCCCTGGGTTGGCCGACGGGCAGCCCGTTAAAGTGCAGCACTTGAAATTCAGAGGTGATATCGCCCCGCCGCCTAATTTCATCGGAATAGTAGTAATCGAAGAAAGGTTTTCGCAGGATTATTTGCATGCCATCCGGGTCCATGGTTGTCGTAGCCGCCCGAATGCTAGTCGAAACAAAGATAGCGAGATCGTTACTTCTACACAACAGTAGCGAAAGCATTTAGCCAGCAAATATGAATGGGATAGGAACGAATGAAGTACGAAAGTAACAGCTGCATTACAATCCAACACGAAATAAAGTGTTTCGCTACCAAAAAATCAACTAAGACCAATGAAAATAAGTCACAAAATGATTTGGTTAGCAAAAAACAACAGCATACACATTAAAGCTTTTTAAAACAAAGCGTGTCTGATTCCAAACCGAAAAACTAGACAACTCGCATACGTCTATTACCGCTAGGTGCGATGCCCTTGGAAAGGGCATTATGACCATAGAATGGTAAAAATTATAATGTAGGCAAAACAATTCTTGGGGTGCAACTGCAAGCAAAAACCCGATGGCTTACTAATTTCACTCCTGCCATAAGGCGCGGAAGGTGATAACAGCACAGTAGTAACATCCATGAAACAAACAGCCCAGATTATAAGAATAAGCAGGAAGTTAGCTACAACGCTAAAGACACAGGAACAATTGTCGATTGGGACCTGCAAATGATCGTACATAAGGGAAGTGGACTTGATAGCCTAATAGAGAATTCAACAACATACATTAATAATAATGAAAATTAATGGGGTGGGAATCCACAGTGTAACCCACCTTGCTTCATCATTAGGCAGTCTCAATAAGCCAAGCAGTTGCTCGTACTTTTCATAAGTCAGAAACCCAGCGTCAGAACTTTCACAAAGGTTCTCAAACTCGCGTTCTGCATGCCATAAGCTGGATTTTGGCATTGAGCTCCTACTCTTCTGCTCCGATTGAAGAAGGGGTGCGAGGGGCTCCACACTCACAAGCTCAAGGCACGGTGACGCCAGCACGGTGAAATGACTCTCAGAACCAATGATCCAAATGGGAGTGGATGGGTTTTTCAAGAACCAACCAACTTCACAATAGCGCAGAGACTCCATGATTGTCAGGAAACCTGTTTTTGGTTGCTCGGTGATACCCTGCATACCTGTTAATAAGCAATTTTCTTCCGTTTTTTAGAAAGAAATACACAACCTCACGTGTTGAGCCACAAAGGCTCATAATTATATCAAATTAGCACACATTTAGCCCACAAAACATTTGTTCTCAATCAAGATACAAGAAAAATGCACCATAGGATAAGTACAATACGGAACTCACAAAATCCCGAAAGATCGCGTTTACCATCGAAAAGGTATGGCGAAGATTGTCCAGTTAGAAGAAGATTTAAAAGACACTGGCTAGCATTGCCAAAGTTGGAATCAATTAGAGTTTCCGTTTCGCCGGTCATTCCATTCTTTACATTTTCCAACCCATGTGTCACAAGGATAGAATAGAGGAAGCATAAGATGCCAAATTCTGATTCGAACGCAGGGATGAGGGATATAATTAATGCGTGTAAATCTTCCATAGTGTCCACAGAAGTTAGGCTAAACATGGATGAGTCAGGAACAAGATTCATCCTCTAAACACCCTGACCAAGTCAGCGACTTATGAATCGAATCACGTTAGTCCAAGTCATCAGACTAAAAATGTCTATTGCAATAATTATTTAAGTTATCTTTACAAAGCGATAACAACACAAAGACAATAGGAAACGAACGTATCAGAAACATTACCTTAGACCTGAAACAAAGCGCTGAAAGCCAGATATCATTGGAAAAAGCTCTATGCATTCAAAAGTGGTTAATTAAAATTCGCTCGAACCCTCAGATGATCCAATACATATATCGGATGAATCCCAATGAAAAATGCTATAATTTGATTGTTTCTGATTTGTCGATACAGTAATGAAAATTTCCAATAAGGCGTTAGTTAAAAGCTCCAAATTACTTAAATCTAAAGACTATTTCGATAAAAGACTCTTACTTGAATGGACTGGGATAGGATGATCCGTAGTGAAAAGAACTTGACGTAAAATCCCGGCTTGAACAGCGGCGATGACGGCACATGGACCACTATTAATTTGAAGAAGCGCAGTTTGTTCATAGTCACTGAACTGAAAACCTGAGGCAAAAAAATAAATCCACGATCGCAGACTACCTTGACACCATCGCCTAAAGTTCTCATCTGATGGCTCCGAGGGACCCCAGACAAGTAAATTAACCCCAGCGACGTCAGACAGCATGAGCACCATTAACAAAATAGCATTAAAAACCCAACCAATCACTAGTTGGCACCCAGTCCAATAGCCTTCCAGTAAAGCATGATTTAGGCGCAAAAGCACACAGGACATGGCAAAGGAGGAAAAGCAGGTTTCAGATTTGCTTACGGAATGAGCCATTAAATTAAAAGACAAAGATTACAAGGTTGCATAGATTGGTAAAGATTAGAACAAACATAGGTGTGCAGGAACGTACGAGCGATCAAATTGCTACTAAATAATATTTGTACAACGCTTCATACTAAAAAATATTAAAGGAAAAACCATTTTCACACTGCGCTACTTATATCGTTTGGGTGTTCCTTCCAGACAGGAGGTGGGCAGTCAAACCCAACCCCACAACCGAGGGAAGCTAACATCCCCCAGGCCAGAGGAAAGTCCCGTGTCCGAGTCTTCCCAAACTTATATTCACCCCATTTGCCCTAAGCAATAGGCATGTTATTATTTAATCAGCCCTGATGCTATAGGGGTGTAAAGACCAGGAGAGGGGAAAGTTTAGCCCCATCCTGCCGATGTCGTAGGTGCTGCGGACTTCGTGATTAAAATACTTAGGGAAGCGAAAAACCTCTGCTCCTAAGTATTTGCTGCCAGTCAAGAAAGAAACGTATCTAAATCCAAAATTATATTTTTTGGTCAAAGTCCCGTTAGACACTGACTTGTGCTGTACCAAATGCAATTTTAACTAAACTAATTTTTAAAGAACGCTTTAAGGCAATAATTGAGCAAAGACTGAAAAATTGTCACGTTTCACTCTTTGTATTGACTTTTTAGTAAGTGTCTGGAATTGACTTGCATGCATTTAAATGTAGTTATTGTTAGACTTATACATGGCCATTTTGTCCTGGCTATTTGTTAATTTTGGAATTATATCAGTTTTTGGCAACACACTTTTCTCGACATATGAAAGGTTTGTAAATACGTAGCTTTTCGTTTTACTAACCACTGGCGCGTCACTTGAGCCAACCGCAAGCGTGACTTTTGTCCAATGGCACCTACTAAACAGCAATCTCAGAAGGGTGTCAAGAAAGGAGGGAAGAAAAAGACGTATGTTCTTCTACATCGTATGATTTCGGTAATTTTAGGACTGACCCCTTTTCCAAAAAGGAGTGGTACGAACTACGGGCTCCCTCAATGTTTTCCAATCGAACCTGTGCCCGCACTTTGATTACCCGCACTCAGGGCACCAAAATCGCAAGCGAGGGTTTGAAAGGTCGTGTTATACAACTGAGTCTTGGGGATTTGAGTGATAAGACTCAGGATATCTTCAGAAAGTTTAAGTTACAAGTGGAGGACGTTCAAGGGCGTCACTGCCTAACGAATTTCCACGGCATGGATCTTACTCGTGACAAGCTCTGTGGAATGGTTCTAAAGTGGCAGTCTACTATCGAGGCGCACGTCGATGTCAAGACTACGGATGGTTACACCCTCCGGTTTTTTGTTATAGCTTTCACGAAGAAACAGGAGGACCAAAAGTCGCATGCCTACGCGCAAACTACTCGTATCAAGAAGCTTCGCGCCAAAATCGTGGAAGTTGTTCAGCGTGAAGTCGCCCGATGTGACTTAAAGAGCGTTGTTCAAAAACTGTAAGTGCGCAAACGTGTTGACATTTTTCTAGTATCCCTGACTCGATTGGCCAGGATGCAATGAATGAGGCGTCATCGATTTTCCCACTAAGTGGAGCTCTTGTTCGTAAAGTTAAAGTTCTTAAGAAACCAAAACTCGACCGTAAGTTTGTTGTTTCTATAGTCATGTGAGTTTAGTGGGTCGGATACTTGAGCTCCACAGCGAGATTAAGACGGACGAATATGGGGAAGGTGTAGCCCGACCGGATCATTACGAGCCCCCAGTTGTTAACGCTGTTTAAATAAAGTAAACTGTGCTGAAGGACATCGTGGCTGTGTTTTCATCCAAAGTTTTACCAAAAGCGTTTTGTTCCCCGTCAACTATGCGACTTTCGTGTTTGGGTCATTTCCACGAACGTTTTTTTTTGTCCACCTTTTATCGACATTGTAAATTGTGCAAGCACCATTATCAATGGTGAATTTTAATGTGCTTGACACTGGGTTTTAAGATCTTAAAATGGGCTATCGCATTATTGTTCCGCCTCTCTCTATTAGGCCTACTTTGGGGAAGGGGGGTGGGAGGAGTGTGTTGGCGGTTCCGGGTGGTGTGATTTTAGTGGTCGAAGGTAGGAAATGAAGGTGATTTGCGGGGGTTTGCCCTCTTTCGCTTAACGTTCCCGGTTCGTCCATTTCTCGTGTCGTGTATCTGCGTGTCGCCGTCTTCGTTACTTCGGAGCTGGACCCTAGGGGGAGTTTGAGAATGTTTTGCTTTGCGTCTTCGGTTGTCTTCTCCTGGGCATTGGGGTTTGCTGCTGATGTGGTTTCTTGTACGATCTTCGTTTGTTCGCTCTGCGATTATGGGTTATCTTGTGGGTGGGGTTCTGATTGCCTCCGGAGGACTTAAGCTCTCTCCCTCTAGCTGGCAAGCGGTTGCGGTAGGATGCACCCTAGCTGTGCGAAACCTTGCTAGTAATCGTGACCTTTGCATGCATGTCGCTGATTCTCCACCTGGTGCTTGGGGGTTTTGGCGTCGTCGCATCGCGTGCTCGTAGGTGGACCAGCCTTTACAGACTAGAACAGGAAATGTGCTAGTATTTATGCGGGGCTTTGATTTTATCATGATATGTGTGCCCACTATTAAAGGATGGGATTGTTTCTGCGGATTTTTGACGCATACTAATAGTATTCAGTAAGTCCTAATCAAGTTACCACCACTAAAGTTAGTTCGGCTCAGCTTCACTTTATAATGGCTCAGATGCTACATACTTTCTAGTTGCAGTCATCTAAACTCCGTATCTTGATCGGAGTGTACTGAGTTAAAAAGGCCGATATGTTTAACGTACAGCAACCTAGTTTTATCAAAATCCAACTCGGAATTCTTACGTAATTTCCCAAATACATAGTCGACCGTTTCCACCTCGGAGTACTCTGTTCTAAACGCGTTAGCCTTCCGAGTACTTAACTGACAGTAATTAATCACCACTCATTTGATAGATGCTTCGGATGTTCTACATTATTTACACACCGTCAACTATTTTTAGATGCATTTCAAGTTATTTAAGTCGGTCCTACTGCAAGGAACACTAATTTACGTGAATTTGGCAATGAAAAACACCACACACTACCCACTCACCACCTCATTCCAAAGTTAGGACCTGTCTGCGATGTGCAGCAAACAAGATATCAAAATACCAATTTACTTTTGCTAGATTGGAGACATTTTAGATTTCACTCACACAGGTATATATGGAAGCCAATCAAATGCAGAAGGAATGCCAGGACGATAAGTTCACACAGACTTGATGCGCCCACCCAAACGACAACAGCCGCTGTGGGTGGCTTAGAAGTGAACATATGGCCCGATCTGGAGTTCTCACCTAAACATGAAAGAAGACCTTAAGCCAACTTCGTAATACATATTAAATTCGGGCGCTGTATAAAGAATTGGGACGATGTTTAAACACGACACCTGATTGACACGTGTGAAGAAATTTAAGTCGGTCGAGTCAACCAGGTAAAGGACATTATTAAACCCGGACTCCATGAGGCTGCATGGCATCCGAAAGTGACCTGATACCGTATTTTACACAAAAGTGAATGTTGAGTTTCGTGGCATCTACTTTTTGGTTTCGTGTATGACCCAACGAGTCGCGATTTTGTATGCGAATGTGAGAACCCTGCCTTGTTCTCAATAAAAACTGAGCATTTTCACACAGGTAAATAAACCATACACAGAAATGTTTGCATCTACACGTTTAAAACTAATGGTGGAACTGCCCGTCGATGCTATAAATAGAAAAAAAAGTGACCTCAGATTAAAGAATTCCAGTTAGTGCTTAAATGAAATTCAGTGAAACCTAACCCATAAGCGTGCCTTACTTTAGTATTTGGCATCATTCGGCAACAACTCTGAGTAAAATTGTATTTCCATCCGATTAGGAAGTATAAGCAATTATGCAGATGTCAATTGTAAAAAGAAAGGGTGTTTACCACGGAACTCCCAGAATTCACTGAAACATAAGGCGATTGATGTACATAGAGATATCATCAAACTTAGAGCACCGAAGGCGATTGATCCAATGAAGTAGCTGAAATGTAAAAGTAGTCACCAAAGTTGATGAAAGTGTTCAATTTGTCCCAAATTATTGCAGGTGTCCTGGTTGTCACCTTCATTTTATAAAACCTTATGGAATGAGTGATATAACAAAAGTGATCTCAAAATTGCCGTTATGCAAACTCACTGCCGTGATAAATTCCACATTTTATGTGATGATACTTAAAATGCAGGCTAATGATTGACTATAAAAGACAGTACATGTAATAAGTTGATACGTCTCGAGAGAAACGTAGCCTCGATCTTGATTATAACTGCTATTTTGCTTTTTTCAAAAGATGTAATCTCATCCACCAAAAAAGGTGTTGAAGCTGCTAAGGAGATGGAGAACAAGGGATAAAAGTAGGTGATGGATGAGTTAATAAAAAAGAAAATTACTACTAGAGAGAAGGAAACAAATTTACGTGCCCTAGTAAAAATGTTGGAAAAAATCCATATAAAATTCTACAAAAAGAAAAAACTATTTCATTTTAACAGGACTCACGCTAAACACCATTCTAGAATATGGCTCAATGCTACACAACAAATCTCCAAATATCTACCGTTTTATTATAGCTTAAATGGTGAAAAATAAGCAATTAATGTAGAAAACACATGCTACAAAGTTACCGAATGGTTCCAGAGTTTCAAATGAACATAAAACTAAGCCGAGGCAAAGGTAACAAACGCCAGTATATGGACTCGAAAGTATCAAGAAGATCTCAAGGAACAAAATTAACACGCATTTATGCACTAATGACAAAATTAGCTAGAAACAGCCTCTACGAGATGCTGGCCACTGGCTCTGGGTCCTCCGCCATCGCTGTGGTGAGCTAAAACAACCAATCTGACGTCAATTTTCAGTGTGGTCATTTGGTGGAGGTGGATGGGCATGACGAGGAGCTGAGGGAATACGAGTAGTGGGGAAGGGAGGGGAAGGAAAGGAAAGAGAGGGAGCACACTGCTGTACAGGTGCAAATGCCCACCCCATTAGATGGTCTTGAAAGGTGATGCGAATTGGAGGCAACTATCGCCTGATAATGACTGGTGTCGCGTTACTTTGAGGTCTTTGCGGAGCGTGCAATGCCTTGGATTTCTGTGCTCATGCCCATCTTCGTCGGCGCCTCGGTATTTGGGAGCATCAATGGTGAGGCGATGTCGATGTCTCGGTGGGTTGCCTTTCTGGATTGATGTCTTATTGCTTGGTGATGGGGATCTCTCAGGAGGTAGAATTTAACAATACAGCTTTACTTCTGTTTGATTCTTGTGTCTTCTTAAAGGCTGACCTACACAGGAGCCAGAGAAGGACACATGCCTTCGATACTCGCCATGATTCATCACTGCAACTTTACTCCTATTCCTGCCATTTTGGTCTTGGTAAAACGCCTCGTTTGTATTTCATCTTGTAGTAAATTGTCTTATGTTTATTCACTACTTTCTGACTAAGTTACGCTTCTGTTTACACTAGGGCGAATTCATTATTAATGCTCTTCAACTAATCAACTGAGAGGAAATATTACAATTGGATTAGTCTTCATTTCACTAGTTAATGAATGGCTTCGACTAATCATCTGAATATTTGCATGTTGAAGTGTTTTCTGGACCAGGAATGATCAAGTGCAGTGCTTCAGTGCCGAAGGGCTACAGGCGATGTTTTAGCCTTTTTCGGTGATCAGATTAATCAGTTAGCCGGAACCAGATAGGCCTCAACTGATCCACACTTGCTGCGACAGGAAGTGCTTGACTCTTTAGTGTGTTTGCCGCTTCAGCTTGTCCTCGCTGTGGGTTACCAATTCTACAGCGACCTCTTCGCCTTGATCGAGCTAGCAGGTTTTGCGTTCTCCTTCATTGCGGCTTTGGCAGTGGCCTCTCTCCTCTACATGCGTTACAAGGAACCCAATCTCAAAACATCGTTCCAGGTACTCTTTCCTCTATCCTTTCCGCATTGTGGCCTTTGGCGTTGAACTCGATTTTCATAGCACACGAGACCTTTCCGATGTATATACACAAGCATCTGTGTGTGTCACA